AATATGATTTTTTTGATTTTATACTTTTATTAAATGACATGGGAAAACTCTCAGATAGGGATCTCAACATATTTTTTTTTCATCACGAAAATGTTTACTTTAAACAAGCAATATCAATTTTAGCGGAGCTTATATTTTAGACTTTAAACGCCTGATGCCAAACTCCTTTAGAGTTCGTTTTCTTGGAAGTATGCTATAATGGATAACAATTGACCTCTAAGGCGAGCCTTAGTAAACATATTTTACTTGTGCGCAATAGCATGCGCTTAGAGCCCCTTACTTACCTCAACATTCATTAATAACAAAAAGTTATTGATTATTGATCAAAAAACGGCATAAAGGGATCATTTTTCTAGGATATTCAAAACTCCTTAGATCAAAGTACGGGGTTATCTGACCACGAAATATGTAAAAGATATTTCTTCAAGTAACTGCTTCCACAAATAAATAATGCCTTCGTATGTTCTTCCATACTGTTTTCAAGAAAAAGCCGTGGCATACGACAAATGGGGAACATTCGGAGTATTAAATTTTGCTGTAAGACCTTCTTCACTAATGAAAGCTGATGGACCATTGAATGACCAAAAAAGGGAACTAGGTAGTGCAACGATGGAAAGATTATGCACAAGATATTAGTCACCTCTCTGGGAAGAAAACTACCTTCCGCCTTCTTGAAATATCACCCTTCAACCAATTCTGATATAAATGAACGCTTGAACAATGAAAGGTACCTAGGAGTGATTGTTTCAACTAAAAACTGCGCTCCATGCAAATGATCCCATTTAATTGATACAATGCGGTCATTAGTACTAGTTCAATAATATAAGTCATCACTCTTCATTTCTCTATCTATTCGTCAATGAAATTATTTCTATTCACGCCTTAACCTAAATCTTTTTGCACTCTAACTCAATTGTTGCAGCGTGAAATCCGTCTATGAGCTTTGAATCTTGCGTAAAAGGCGTACAATGTTAGAAGTGCAAAGCCAATAATATATTTGATAAGAGTGATATAACAAGAGAAAAAAAATGCCTTAATGAAAATTAAATTCTCAGAAGCGGCTTTGAGTGTAAAAAGTAGAGAAAATATGCCTCCTAGACACCAAGACAGCCTAAGCAATCCTTAGAACACTAGACAGTCAA